GTCCTCTCTGCTAAGCACTTCACTTGTGTGGTTTATCAAACCCCATAGCAACTGGGGGCCAATTAGTTCATTTGTGTGAAAGACAAAAGAGCTTAAGCAGTTCTTAGAAGTCACATAGATAAAGCCAGCAATAGGCAACACTGCCCCTGTCAGTGTGGCTGTCCTGCTAGCTTTCAGGTGTACACACACACGCACACATACACAAGATAACCAAGATCATTGCACTACTAATTTCTGTTGCTTTATTGAAAGCTAATTAAAAAATTGTTTGGACCAATTTCCATGCTTATATCTGGTAATCTGAACAACTACTTTGAAGACAACAGTATGTAACACAACAACCATTGTTGATTTCCTATCACCTTGTTTTGAAATTCTGTATCATCTTCAATGTTTTTAATAAAATTTTTATTCTCTTTGAAAAATGAAAAAGACTGCAACCGCTGATCAGGTGTGATGAGAATCACCAACAATTAAACACTCTGCTTGCTTGAATATTCTTTTCATAATGGATAAAATATGACTAGCATGCATAAGAGCAAACATGCTTTTCAACTATCTTGTTCAAGATAGTCCTTTTGAATCTCCATAAAAGATATTATTGAATTTAAAATATTTGGTCCCATATACTACAATCAGCCCAATGAACGCATTTACAAATTGAAATCCTCTTTCCTTTTGGCCTCTGCTGGCATCAGTTGGTCTGTCAGGGCCGAATAAGCAGTAAACATGGAAAGACTGAAAAGAAAAGTCAGTTTTCCAGGACTCTTAACACTGTCTAAGGAAGCTGAGCAAAATACCGAGCGCTACTTCTCATATGACTATCTACAAGTACTTGCTTTCTCCGCTTGGTCACGGTCTGCACCAGGAAGGGGGCCATCAGCTTCGTCTGGCTGTTCTTCAGCAGGCAGAGAGGCACTTTTGTTTATATCTGTATCTAGGCAACCAGAACGCAGAATCAGATCAGGAAGTATGGTAAGCGAAGTTTTGCTTTGGTGGCCTTTTCTTTCCCTGTGTACATATGGCAAAGCTTAGAGGGCTGCTGCTGGATTGCTTTGCAGTCGCCCTTGGCCCTCCACCCCACCAGGATCTTCCCTTGTGCCCACATCTTGCCTGCGGTCAGCCAGCAGAGTGTATCTTCCCAGGCACCCGCATGAGCCATTTAGTCCTAACCTGGAATCCTACCCCAGTGTGTTCAGGCCACCTGAGGATTTTCTCTGGGATTTATTAATTTATTTCTATGTACAGTAGTAAGAAATATAAGGTAGTAAAGTATGAAAAACTTAAATTTGCTACTAAAGAGTAGTGCATGAAATAAATACCTGGATTCATGAGGCTTGATTTTCCAGCTTTACTTCTTGGTTGATTTTATTTTTTTTTTGAAAGGGAACCGTGGCAGATTGTTTTCTCTTTTGTCTTTGAAAGCCAGAGTACTGAGGAATCTTGACTGCATCCTAATTAAAGAGTTCATCTTTCTGGGCATCTTCCCAAGGGGGCTCAGTGGCATTGTGACTATAGCAAAGGGCTATGATGTCAGGGGGTGGCCCTGTGATTTAAGTCTTTGAATTCCTGGGATTTAGGAGCCTGTGGGGGATTTCCTTAATGTTCATTGTTACACACACACACACACACACACACACACTCTCTCTCTCACACACCACCACCACCACCACCAAGAACAACAACCCAAAACCAATTTTCACTTCTTTATCTCACTGACTGAAGAGAGACCCTTACTAATCTGTTACCTCACACTCTTTTCCTGATTTCATTTTTACAGTCTTATAAGAGATCAGCTCCCACCAAATTAGACCAAGAGGAAACAAAATATTGTGTGCTTCCATCCTTGTTCACATAGGCTAACTGAAGAAGTTCATTCTTCTAGCCACGTAGGGGGGCATTACAGAAAATTCAGCGACCGTGACAGGTGACATGGGGCCAGCGTTTATAAATTAAAGATTGAACCTTGTACAGGAAAGTTTACCCAGTTATTTTGCAAAAACGAAGTGAACTATTTTAGCCTTAAAATGTTTTCCTGAATTTTAAAAGTAAAATTTGCATATTTTATTAATACTACTTGGCTCTCATTCATATGTACAAGAAAGACCCTCAGCAACTAAGTCACCAACCAAGTCGTGGAACCAGATTTGCCCTACTCCGAGGACACGTGATGTGCAGGATGCTGAGTGATACGCTTTGATCCACAGGAAAAGCACTGTGGATCAAATATTTTTGAGTAATATTTTGGCTCCAGTGGTCCATCCCTCAGTGCTAAGCTGGGCCCTTGAGACTTACAAGTATAGTATGCCATGGGGGAGAAACAGCCTAAGAGATCCATTGCACTTCCCTAACTGTCCTAGGGCAGACTGACATACATCTGTAAAAATGAGCAGGTGGCTACAGGTTCTGAGAGAGTGGGTCAGAATCCTGATTCCTCAAATGCAATAGTACAGTTAAGTGCTCAGCTGAGTTCCTCTGAAAGGTAACTATTATTAGTGGTTATTACAAGGGGGCAATTATCCAAGAAAAAATAGAAACAGGCAAGATCTGTGTTAGGGGAAAAACAACCAGATGACACAGCTTAGCAACTTCTTTCCTGCCCTGCAGGTTCATCCTGTAACCTGTGAAGCTTGGCTAGAGAAATGGGCCCCACTGAAATATATTCTAACTGGCTTGGTCTCTAAATAGAAATGGCTGCGCAGTTTTTAACAGAACAATGCATGAAGATCTATAGATGGTAGATAGATAGATAGATAGATAGATAGATAGATAGATAGATAGATAGACAGATAGACAGACAGAAAGGCAGATAGATAGGTGACTCAAATTCACTAGTGAGGTTCAATGTTGACCTTGTGGGGAATTTGATTCAGTTCTCATCCTATTAGGTTTGCAACCAGAATCGTGGAAGGAGTAAGTTCTTGACCTGAGGTATCACTCTGTGTGTGTGTGTGTGTGTGTGTGTTCTGGCTTCCTACTTGCCTGAAATGAACACATGAAATTCCTCCAGGAAGGCAGTGATCTTCAATGATGCTTCCAAAATGAATGTGAGCATAGTTTGAAGCACAGAAAGAAAAATGTCCAACTTTGACTTTAAATTCTTAAATATGACTCTCTCCTGATACTTTGAGTATAGACATAAAGAAATATTCCTGCTGTGGGGTCAGGGAAGGGGGTGGTCATTGTTGAGGGTCAGCACAGAACTGCAGTGTGGTGCTGTACACTAACAATCCCAGGGCTGGCTGTTTGCACAGTGACAACATAGAGGCTCATATGCGTTCCAATTTTTTTTCCGGTACAAGGCAGAAAATACCTTATTTTTTTCCATAATTTTATTGATAAATAAATAGCAATGAGACAGTTTCAAATCAAATTGGTAGGACAGTTTCAATAATTAACACATTGCATACATTCTTCCTAGTGGTTAATTGCTGTACA